CTATACCGGATTTCTAACTGTGTATGTATGTACAAGTTACGTAGGCCCGTCTAACGGGCCCAACTTATGTAGATGAGTCTCTCGACAATCACTGTTCCGCAATAATATAAAATCTCGATTAGTGTAGATCATTAATTAACTTCAGCAATATCTAATACATAATTTAACAGCGGAAAGCGAAGTGCTTAAATTCTTCATCGAATATGCTATAAAATTGTCGGTATGCATGATTTATTTACTTTGTCATCCTCGCAACAATAACGTTCCTTCGGCTACTTAATAATTTCTAGTCGTTAAATATGTAAATAATTGCCACTAATCGAATGACAACGATCAGTATACACAATTAACCTATACTAAGAATGCACACTAAAAATAAAGTATGTTAAGAAGCATTGAATTGCATAAACACTATGAAAAGTGTGCACGCTTGGCCAAAGATCTGAAAACCGAGACGAACAAAATTGTACATATTATTTACACAGATAGATTTGTATTTCGTATCAAAAAACAAATTAAAAGGTCGTACCCCCCAAAATCAGAGAATTGTTCAATGTCACATAATTGTTTAATGAAATTTCCGTTGGACACGTGTCTAAAAGGGTGTAAATACTTTGTAGCTACATAAATAGATGAATAGAACTATTAAGTAATTAATTGTTCATAAAATCCATATTAAATTAATTTACATTAAATAGAAAATTTAACAATTGATTAATACATCGAAATATGTACCTCCCGATTTAAATCGTCCTCCACCATCAATAATTCCTTGTCTTTGATAATCTTGGCAATTTTCTTGTCCTAAAAATTTGTAAAATCGTGCCATGTTTTTGTCTTAAAAAATTCCTCCTTGTTCAAAAACTATGAATTGTCTACCTCTTCCGTCACGTCGGTCGCAGCCCAAATTTTATTACAACCCGGCAAAGTGACCACAAACTGAAAAAACGACATTTGTCCCAACACCACAAAGTATTTCGGACTCCAACTGGAGCGTAACGCAAATGTAGAGGGTTGCGGACGTGTAATAAATTGAGAAAGGATTGACAAAATTTGAGAAATGGTCAAATATCGGCCACACGACTCTGCTCGTGATCGCACCATTACAAGAAGCCCTTGCAAATTACGAAGTTGGACTTTATCAGAGAAACTAGTCGACTGAATTTGTTTGCGGATCTGAAATATAAAATTGTTCAGATGCAAAATTTAATAAAATTGTGGCGTACTTACGACAACGTCATATTCCCATCGCTAACTCCATTTATCGAATTTGTCTATCCTAAAAAATTTGCTGTAAATAGCGGACTTTGCAAAATATTTCTTCACAAATTTCGTAATTTCTGACGGAGAGTTTGGGAAATAATTTTCGCAAGTACATATGTACGAAAAACATGCCTGCCTATCACCTGGGTAAACTTGTAACCCAAAATGCAATCCTTGTTCATAAAAAGTTTTCGAAATCTTTCCAAATTTCGCAAAAGTTCTGCTGATGTGATAAAATTTGCGAAGTTTGTAAAATATGGTAGATTTGTGAAAGTTTGACGTGAGTTTGCCTATTACACAAGTGTCTAATTTTAAGAACTGTTTGTATAATGCGAACCTCTGAAAAACATCCCTCAACACATTTCAGCAACAGTACAACTTTAATATCATCCAGAACATAGGCACCCGTTGAAATTAGACCAGTAGAGTTGATGCAGTACGACATAAATGGGAAAATCCAGGACAAAACGTATATCTGAAATTAGAAACTAAAACCGAAAATAATGGCACCGTTCCGATAAAATACGCGGTGGAAAATATATTCCGAATTTGGTAATGTCCACGTTTCCATATTTCTGTTCCGAAAATGATCCCTGGGTTGGGTTCCAGTCATTCAGATACTTTACGAGTTGAGGCGTTGTCCACCACGAGATGAAGTATTCCATCGCGATGTGCAAAATGGACACGATTTCGGCGGAAGACAGCAACCCAAGGGTTAACGCGAGACGGGGAGATTTCGTGGTGGCCCGATCCAGGTTGCATTTCCATTAGCGACTACGGGCCAGCTACATATGTATTTAGGAAAACAAATTAACCTCTTGGCTTCCGATTTGACACAGTCTTAATTTTTCCCTAGACCCGCCAAAATTGTAAATAAAATATGCAAAATGTTAAAACATTCGGTGCTAAAAGGTAAAAATTTCCATAGGAAAGCGTGACGTTTGTGCCACCTCTTCCAAAAATTTCAACTTTTTCTGAATCTATGTACGCTGGGTTTAAAAGTGAAATTTTCAAGGTTTTTGAGTTTTCGGAACTCAGAAAATGTCCTTCACCAGTGAAAGAACTAGGTACTGAATGGTTAGCTTTTCATAAACTTTGACAAGCTACCCAAGAGGTTAATTAGCTAATTACGAAATAATTTCTGATAAAATAAATATGGACATACGTACGTACATTCCTCCTGTTGGAAAGTACTGATACCCCGAGCGCACCAAATTGAAGTAGACCGATGGCCATGATGAACAATGACGCGATCGCGGAAACAAGTGGAGTCCACAGACTTTTGAGACATTTCCGACTGAAACTGTAGTCCGTGTAATTCCCGAAAGTGTTATATTCCAACGGACAGCGCCCCGTAATACGCAGGATGACAAATAAGGGTAAAAGTTGTTTTGTAAGGAGGGAAGGTAAAATTGACTTGGTTTCCAATTTTGAAAGCGGTCTGACGGTTTTCCCCATTTTTGGAATTTTTCTTTTAAGTGACCACATTATTTCTGACTGTATGTCTTAAGGATGCATTATGTTCGACGACTTCTCCAACTGAACAAATGGTGACTGGAATGATTAATTGATTAATCTATGTATGACTAAATAATTGTATTGACCATGTCAACAAAGTTATGTATTCGATGTGATGCACACTTAGCTAATTGTTTACTTTATTTTACTGAAGGGACATGAAGGGGAATGAGTGAAATGCATTATTTGTCAATTAACGATATTTGTCGCGATAATTGGCTTATAAGCTAGTGCTGAATCTTGCTGGGCAGTTTACTACTGGGCGGTGTATGGCTTTCAACCTATCAAGAAAAAATTACGTAAAATGTAAAAATCATTTAAATACGTATGTACCTATGTAGAAATATTGAAGTAGTATACCTCATTTAATTCTTGTCCAGGTGGAATTTCGACATGTAACACTCAACCTGATTTCGTCTGGTAGGACGGCAACTGAACCGATTTCGCTGATAAACAAGTATTAAAACTAATTGAAACCCACCGGGTTAACCTGCAGGATCCGTTATTGTGTTACCCGAAAAGGTGAATATCCCTATTTTAAGCAATTACCTGTAATCACCAATAAAGTTTGTCCTATGAAAGGAGTTTCCTACATTGCGATTGCTCAAAATGAATGCAGTCAGTTTGTAAAATTTTCATGAAGGGATCTCGGCGAATTGCAAAGGTGTGCATGCCAACTAATAAGAACAACACACAAATTACCCAGTTCCTCAATTAAGATAAATTGTGTGTGGCTATCTAACCATAACAGATAAATTACTGTTGTTCTTAATGGACAACTTGTCCAAACCATATGGGAATTTAACGTGTACATACGTGTTAAAATTTGTGCGTAAACGTAAACTCCCAATCTCCCTAATAACTCGCCATATTGATGGATTGATTTATTGAAGGCTTTTTGGGGCCTTTAGGCCCATAAAGGTACATGTATAATGCATATAGTACAAAGATTCGCATTTTTTTATAAAAAAAGAAAAATTGAAATAACAAAAGTGGTAATAAATTTTTAAGGTTGCGCACATATATACTGATAGATACGTGTGTATGTAAACAAGTGCAAATTACACAAATATGTATGTATATCTGCAACACCGCAGTTGTATGTACATACATTATTCACTTGCAGCCACAAGATTTAATCACCATATCCTTGTACTTTTTAATAGTTACGTTCGAAAGGTCATCATAATACTGAAATTATTCAAATGAAAACAAAAATGGTCACGATTTAATGTAAACCAACAAGTTAGGGTAGTATGTACATATATACGTAGAGTGAGCCCAATATACATACATATTAGTACGGGGTACGGACGCTTGCTACATAGGCATAATCATGTGCAACTTTGTTTCTTATAGTAATTTTCTTATGAAATTTTCTGAATTTTACAGAATAAGTACTTATATTTCAAGATATCATAGATTTGTTTAGCCAAGATGCATGGTTTCAAAGCTAAATTACATGGAAATGAACACAAAAAAAGTTACTACACCCCTTCATAATTTTCGACTTCAACTTGTTTAAACTTATATACAGCTTTTGATTGGTATATACTCAATCACTTCCTTAATATATTTTTGGATCGACCAAATCCACCAAATTTTCTGTTGATTTCATTTCAATTTTTCACATCGAAGATGATGTCACCGCGTAAAGGTATCTTTTGATTTAAAACAACGATTGGAAATTGTGTGGCCTAATTTTGCATACAAATTTTCTACACCTCTTAAAAATTTTCGCTTCGAATGGAGTAAAATGTCACTCCAATAGGTAGTCAAAGTGCTTCGACGCTGCCCGGAGTAATGCGTGTAGCAACTAGTCTGGAGTAAGCGTACTTACTCCACTCAGAGTTGTAGCATGCTCCAAATTATGCATAGGGCTTGAACGATACATAGTAAGATTTTACTCGATATGATGCAATTCTGCCCGATTCTAAGTAAAAGTGAACACGATTTTGAGTATATGGCTTACTCTGTCCGGGGCTCGCCTTACTAATTTAGAAGTTCAGTTAAAAACGGGGAAAAATATATTTATTTGTGTGAGTGCGATTTATTATTTCACAACTATTAAGTTTTACAATTCAATTACTTTCATAGGTAGGTTAAAAATAATATTACAGTGTAGCAAAAAATGTTTGAAATATTATTAACAGTAAAACAAGCTTTGAAACAGTTAAATATTCTGCATAATTTGTCCAATCAACGCCTGTACAAACGGGTGGAAGATTTGATTGGCAAGGTTTACCAAATACACCGTGATAAATAAATAACCAATGGTTAAACGATTCAACTGGAAACGGAAGTGGCAACACGGTGAAAATCTTAGTCAATGAGTCAAAGGCTTTCAAAATTTTGAACCGCATGGAATGGCAACCTTATGAATGATGATAAAAAATGAATCAAACTGCAGATCGGCCATAGTCCCCAGGGCAAGTAAAAACGGAGCTTGGTGTGTGTTCATCTTAAGAATTTCGGCTACATGAGTATTTTTCTGGCAAAAAGAAGATTGCATATTAATTAGAATGAGATTATACATAATTGCCCTAAGATTATAGTACAAACGATAACGCACCGGTTTTACAACAAACATGCTTTTGTATACGTCCAAGTCCGACGCTTTCAGAATCGACATGGTTTTCTTGGGGGGACGACCAGCGGCTTTTGCCTTACGTTTTCCTCTCGTAGTCACCATAGGCAGTTCTCCATCGTCAAACTGGTCCTCCAAGTTGTCGGATGCGGCCCGTCGGCCACACGATGGAAGCACAAACGGCAATACGCAATAAGCCAGTATTGTAACGTCATCTAAGGAACAAAAAAATACATAACTTTGAGTTAAAAATAATTATTTGGTAATAAAGTACCGGAGGACAGGTCATAACGACTCTTCATCACACCGAATTTTTTCAAGTAGTCGATTCCACTCTCTTCTGCATATTCCAGGATTTTTCGAGATACCCTTGGCCACCGGTCGTACATCACGAAGGCCAGTGCAGGATGACGGCAATCGAAATCTTGAGTTATCTATATATGTATATATTTTGATAAAGTAATCCTGTTAAGTTAACTCTTGCGTACTTTCATATAACATAATTTGTACATACCATCCCCTCTGTATCGAAAAGTCGAGGCATGGATACTACTAAATTATCCAGAATATCTACATTTACCGCGTTAAGTCGGCGTATCACTGTGCGACGTTGAAAAACGGTATTTTTCATTGCCGAGTCAACATCAGTTCCAAAATTCTGGCGAATATACTCCAGAATTCCTTCCTCCGGATCTGGATCATCTATATATTAACAGGGTATTACAATGACAGCAAAATTTGCAGAGTGTTTGGCTACCAAATGGGCGAGAAGTCAAGTGGTCATTAAAGGTTATAAAGGTTAAAAAATCTCACCATCCTCGTCATCAGATATCCAATTCAAAACGGGCAAATCCAATTCGTTACACTTTGTAGCTGAAGTAGACAGAAGTTTTTTATCGGAGATTTTTTTTCGCTTATTTGTAAGCCTTTCCTCCAAAAATCCGCTCGCCGGGGCCATCGCTGCTACCCATGAACCACATCTGGTAACCGAGATGCTTGCGTCTGGGGTCCCCTAGGGCTGGATATTTTCCGACAAGATCTTTTGCCATTTGGTCCATTGCTTGCTTACTTGGGCTATAAACGGCGACTAATTGAATCAAATAAAATCTTTTATTGTTTGCCTGTAACGTACCATGTTCAAGATTTTCAATGATAGCATCCACCAGTACTGGCGGCGATGGTCTGACGGTCATCCTTAACCACCATTTTCTTGGCTGGGATCTTCTGAAATAGTATATGCTTCACTGCATCATTTTTTCGCAAAACCGCATCAATATCCTGCAAATATTACCCCCATTAAAAAATTGTATACGAAAAGCTTAGCAACCCAGAAACTTGCAACACTTGTCGAAGACTTACGAAATTATAAAATCGATGTTCATGTATGGGAGCGCTCTGAAATTGACGAAGCCAGATAATCGTATTGAGCACACAAAAAATATGGAAGAGAACAATGTACTTAAAATATTTAATTTAGTATTTATAACCGGGCTGGATTCCACTGGTCTTGTGAATGAGGAACCAGAAGTGGTGGCCAATTCTATGGAATCTGAAGTTGATGCAGTGGAATTTTGGCTTAACGGTTCGTTCTCTCTGATTACTTCAAGAAAAATCGTTTGACTTGAAGGTAGTTGCTAAATATAAAATAATACAAATTAATAAACTGAGCAGCTAGAAAATTTGGTTATTTTTCATTCGTACCTGATGAGTAATAGAAGATGATGGGGAGGATAATTCTGCCCTTTTGGATAGCAGAATGTCGGTTGGTAATCTTAGTCCTCGTTCAAGAAGTTCTCGGTTGCTTATCAATGAGGAAGTGAACAAACTTTGATTGTCGTCTTCGACGCGCTTGTCACAAAATAAATTATTATATTATATCAAAGTACTTAAAATTTATGTTAATTTAGTGGATTAGTTCGGTATTCATTTACGTCAGACCTTGGTAATAAAAATAAATTGAATTACTCAAACTAATTTAAATGGAACACTAATATATTCGTTGACATCATTGTCAAAAAACGAATGCATTGTGTATAAGGGCTGGTAATGCTTAATTGCATGCAGATCTACTAATCGAATTTTATTCGACTTACAAATTTGGTAGGCTGACAAATGTGTCACAAGCTTGCTAGAAAATTCGGTTACTATGAAAGTACAATCGTCGTCCTCTAATAAAATTCCTTCAATTTTCCCCGAACTCTGGAAAAGCGTGCAATATTTCAATATTACAAAACCTCCTACTCTAAATTCAGAATTATTGGATTCAACAAGATTTGATATTTTGATTATAGGATTTTCTTGGAAATGGAAATGATCAGCCACAAGCTCAGCATGCACAAAGTCATTCAACTGAATAAATTCGTATTTAGGGACTACGAATGTGCACGGTGAAAATACATTTTTTTGAGATTAAAGAAAAACATCGCCCAAGCTGATGCCTATAAGCCAATGTTTTGGGTATATTCTTAAAATTGCACACCGTATGCGCTGTAGTTTTGAATACTTTGTGTCGAGCTTCGTAAGTCATGCTCCAGTACTGCCTTAGAGAACCGATTTGAACAATTGAACCTGAATAATGAAGAAGATGATGATGTTTAGGTTTCAGTTTTCGTTTGAATAATTCTTGATAATTACAACAGAATTCAGAAATAAGAGAGTCCAAGTAAATAAGGCCACCCTTCGTAATAATGTGCGAAAGAATTATGTCACAAATTTCTCGTAATAGCAAAAATAGTTTCCATACAGGATCATCGTGTGGCATTAAATCGCCAAGTATTAACGGTAAAGAGACGAGCAAACACAAATTTTGAGAAGCATTTTGTCCTGACTTTGTGTCACCCTTTAGCACTGAGGCTTTAATTTGAGACGGTTTACTTCTACGGAAGTGCCGTCCATAATCAAAGGATTCAATTCGATAATTCAGCTTATCCAAATTGAAACGCTTGTTTTTAATTCCTAAACTGATCATTAAATTGAGTAAATCAGGAACTACCCCTTCCAGTAGGTCGTGCATAATATCAAACACGAACACTTTCGTTACGTGGTGATATGGAAGTGAATTTATCACGGATTCAAAATTTATACCAGTAGCAGAAAGATTTCTAAATTCAACATCCTGATTATAATTCTCAATTGATCGCAATACTCCGGGGTTTTCGGTCACAGCGGTTTGACAATCATGCTTATGCATTTTACAACGCCTGCATGGATAATTGGCATTAAATCCCTCGGAAAAACCTAATATGGTGTGCAATCCTAAATTGTCACCCGATATTTGGGACAATGCAACTTTGATATTAATAGTTTTGCCATTGTGATTGAAATTTATCCCAGTTTCCCAAAGAAATAAAAGCTCTTTGACAATGATATTCATAACCGAGTTTGGAGATAATATCTTTAAATCCTCACTTTTAAGGGAACAGAGCAATATTATGTTTTCAATTGAACTATTATAATGACAAGGCATATCTTGGATTGAATAGTAAAAGTTTGCCAACTTATGTTTCCCATTTTTGGACCCCAAAGGATTAGCAACCTCAGCCTCGTCAAAGTATATATTTATAAAAATTACCTGAGATGGAAAGTTGGAATCGCGAAAAAACTTTCCATCTCGAAATGATGAAAATTTTCTCCCTGAATATGACTGTTGTTTGTCAAGTATGTCGTAAAAGCCTGGTTTCTGTAATAATTGGAAAATTGAGTCACGTATTGAAACATATTGAAGCTTAATTGGTCTGTAAACTTGTCGCTGGTTCCCAATTTTTAATGGAAAATGTAAATCTGTGTCCAAAACTATTTCTCGAGCAGGAATAAACAAATTTCCGTCAATTAAAAGCTTGTCTAACTTGTGTTTACTATCAAACGAAGAGAACACGTGAGCTAAGTTTTTAATTTGTTCAAGCTTAAATAACTTTTCACTTAATGTTTCGTTACTTTTTAATATTATAATGGATCTGCAAACAGCCTCTCCTAAGATCATTACGGTAAACTCCTTAATTAAAGTTAAAATCTCGTCTTTTGTGCTCATTGGGACCTTTCCTGAACGCAAAATTCCTGCAATCAATTTGAAAATTAATTCACGAAGTTCTTTGTTAATATCATTGTCGCAATCTTTTGTGAAACTTCGGTCAAGAAAATCTGCGTGAACTACTTTCATATTTTCAATTGGTGGATTTCTTTCCTCGTAATTTTCAGGGAGAAAATTTTCACTCAATAGCAACTTATGGAACTTGAAAGCATTTTTTAAATGGCTGATGTATGGCTTTCTTTGATATAAGCCACCACAATGAACACACCTATGTGAATCGGCTCCCAGTAATTTATGATCATTTTTTAAGTGATCAGAATACAATTTTAAAAGTTTAAATCTCTTTTCACAAACAAAACAAACATATACCGAATCAGACTGCAACTTATTTATTCCATTCCATATCAGAATCCGATCACCAAGGACTGGAACGACGTGGATGAGGTCATCTTTTTGAAGGTGTTGTAAAGAATCGTCGGTTAGATTGTTGTCTGTTAAAAAAACGTGCAAAACTAAGAGTTTTAACTTTAAAAAATGTAGAATGGAATTTAAAATAGATCTTACCTTTAAACAACTGACAGTATTTTCCAAGATTAAGTTGAGTTAACAATCTTTGAATCTCCGCATCACACATTTTGGAATTTTAAAAATAGGAATGTAAATTCCGGAATAAATGAGGGAAATGTGTAAATCTGGAATAGACTAATAAAGTCCAAAGTGCAAATCAAGAAGGGCGGGTGAATTGCGGTAGGCTTACTCGCAATGAAGTTCTCCTAACTTTAATGGGGGTAGATGTGGACTCATTTTTAAGTTATTGCCAAGTATGGTTTTTTCAGAGTTAGAAGGATCGCTTACTAGATTTAGAGCAACTGAACTTACTCTTAAAATACCTTCTTATTCTCGGTTTAGGGTTACATTCATTTTACTTTTCGAGAAGTACGCTACATTTTTGAGAGTGTATGTCAAATTAAAGGCGAGAGAATTAATAGGTTTTATGATTATAATTTAAAAATACCTGACAGTAGAGTAATTTTCCGTTGTAAACCCTGCTGTTTGTACGGATTTAAATCCAGTTTGGGCTTTACGATGCAAAAATACTGGCCAGATATTTCATTCTCAATTTTTGAAAATATTAGCGAACTATAAAAACATGCTCCCTTGAACCCTCTGTCGCCATCGTACTCCTCAAATGTCATTGACCGCTCCGATTTCACCAACGTGTTCCCCTAGTAGACAAAATTTATATTTCCAATTAGTGTCATTGCATTAAAATAACATGAAATAATAAATTTAAATCTTACAATGGATCCTTTAAACCTCCAGTCGACGGGTTGATTACTTGTGCAATTAATGACAAAATTCCCACTTTTCCTCACATTTCGAACGGCATAGGTCTCACTTTCTGACTCCACTTTCTCCACGTAATCCATCGGTATCTGTAATTTTGGAGCCGAGTGGTTCGCTGGAATTTGGACTTCACTCTCGATCCAGCAAACAAAACGATACTCGCATGAATAATTGAGATTCGTTTTGGCAACATCTTTTCTGTTAACCAGATTTATGTTAACTACGAAATCTGATTAAATAATGATGAGTTTCGTCAGGAAAATCGGTTCTAAATACTGTTATTAGAAATTCCAGAAAACAGGAGTATGGTCGAGTTGGCGGTTGCGGTTTTACATAAGAATATTGAACGGGAATTACCCTGATGGTAAAAATGATGAGATAAGCATCTATTGTCACAAATAAGAAATCAGACCTATTATTACGTACATATAAAAAACCGCAACTGCCACAGACAACTGTAAACATTTTGCATATTTGACTCGATCTTATGCTGTTTTAATATTTTCCTTGCTTTTCATAGATACAGAGACTATGACGTAACCAAGAATTACGTTTCATGCCGAGCCTTTTCCTGGATAGTTTCACACTTACATAAATAATTTAATATTTTTTAATATGTTACAATTATTAATAAATTATACATAGATGAGCTTCGCACGAATGTTACGTATACAGGGTATGCCCTACTTGAACTAACTTACTACACACGATCAGGTGAACCAAGAAGTGACCTCATCAAATTTGTATTGTGATAAAGTTTTTTAACCATGCAAAGATATTGGATGCGCACACTTCATGGTTGACTTACTCAACTTGCGTACAGTGTGGTCCACTTTGATTAGACCCCCCTAAAAAAATACTACCGGCGTGCGGTTTTTCATCAATCACTCCTGATTGTGAGTTTTTTTCGACCAAATTTTTTTTTCATAATGACCCCTGATAATACCTCGTCAAGAACTAAAAATCGCATCGGAGTACAAACGTTCGTTGCTTAATGGCAATGCGTCAAAGTTGTTGCATGAAATACGCACCTCGCCTCAGTGCTTCTACACATGCAAGCCCACACCTAGGGCGTCTAAATGACGCAAACCGGAAGTCTCTAACTGTAACGTGTGGCATTTGGCAGGTATCTTAAGATTTATTTTCACCCTTTTTCAGGCAGTTTCAGTATTTCGCAATTTTCTCGGTCTTCCTTTCAAGTTATCGGTTCAGAGCTGCTTATACACTTCAAGTCCACACCGAGGGGCGTACAACGCGCCCTTTCCGGAGTCTCTAACTGTAACGGGTGGCATTTGGCAGCACATACAAGATTTAAGCCTTCCCTTTTAGGAGAGAAGGGGGGACCTTTTGGATTTTAAGAAAAAAGCTGGATTTCAAGTTATCGCTTCAGTGCTTCTACACTTGCAAGCCCACACCTAGGGACGTCTAAATGACGCAAACCGGAAGTCTCTAACTGTAACGTGTGGCATTTGGCAGGTATCTTAAGATTTATTTTCACCCCTTTTTCAGGCAGTTTCAGTATTTCGCAATTTTCTCGGTCTTCCTTTCAAGTTATCGGTTCAGAGCTGCTTATACACTTTCAAGTCCACACCGAGGGGCGTACAACGCGCCCTTTCCGGAGTCTCTAACTGTAACGGGTGGCATTTGGCAGCACATACAAGATTTAAGCCTTCCCTTTTAGGAGAGAAGGGGGGACCTTTTGGATTTTAAGAAAAAAGCTGGATTTCAAGTTATCGCTTCAGTGCTTCTACACTTGCAAGCCCACACCTAGGGACGTCTAAATGACGCAAACCGGAAGTCTCTAACTGTAACGTGTGGCATTTGGCAGGTATCTTAAGATTTATTTTCACCCCTTTTTCAGGCAGTTTCAGTATTTCGCAATTTTCTCGGTCTTCCTTTCAAGTTATCGGTTCAGAGCTGCTTATACACTTTCAAGTCCACACCGAGGGGCGTACAACGCGCCCTTTCCGGAGTCTCTAACTGTAACGGGTGGCATTTGGCAGCACATACAAGATTTAAGCCTTCCCTTTTAGGAGAGAAGGGGGGACCTTTTGGATTTAAGAAAAAAGCTGGATTTCAAGTTATCGCTTCAGTGCTTCTACACTTGCAAGCCCACACCTAGGGACGTCTAAATGACGCAAACCGGAAGTCTCTAACTGTAACGTGTGGCATTTGGCAGGTATCTTAAGATTTATTTTCACCCCTTTTTCAGGCAGTTTCAGTATTTCGCAATTTTCTCGGTCTTCCTTTCAAGTTATCGGTTCAGAGCTGCTTATACACTTTCAAGTCCACACCGAGGGGCGTACAACGCGCCCTTTCCGGAGTCTCTAACTGTAACGGGTGGCATTTGCAGGACATACAAGATTTAGGTTTTCCCTTTTCATGTAGTTTCGGTATTTCGGAGTTTTCTCGGATTCCTTTAAAGTTATCGCAAAAGTGCTCCATTTCACTTTTGTAGCCATGGCCTAGGGCGTAAAACGCGCCCTCTACGGAGTCTCTAGCTGTAACGGGTGGCATTTGGCAGGACATACAAGATTTAAGCCTTCCTTTTAAGAGAGAAGGGGGGACCTTTTGGATTTTAAGAAAAAAGCTGGATTTCAAGTTATCGCTTCAGTGCTTCTACACTTGCAAGCCCACACCTAGGGACGTCTAAATGACGCAAACCGGAAGTCTCTAACTGTAACGTGTGGCATTTGGCAGGTATCTTAAGATTTATTTTCACCCCTTTTTCAGGCAGTTTCAGTATTTCGCAATTTTCTCGGTCTTCCTTTCAAGTTATCGGTTCAGAGCTGCTTATACACTTTCAAGTCCACACCGAGGGGCGTACAACGCGCCCTTTCCGGAGTCTCTAACTGTAACGGGTGGCATTTGGCAGCACATACAAGATTTAAGCCTTCCCTTTTAGGAGAGAAGGGGGGACCTTTTGGATTTTAAGAAAAAAGCTGGATTTCAAGTTATCGCTTCAGTGCTTCTACACTTGCAAGCCACACCTAGGGACGTCTAAATGACGCAAACCGGAAGTCTCTAACTGTAACGTGTGGCATTTGGCAGGTATCTTAAGATTTATTTTCACCCCTTTTTCAGGCAGTTTCAGTATTTCGCAATTTTCTCGGTCTTCCTTTCAAGTTATCGGTTCAGAGCTGCTTATACACTTTCAAGTCCACACGAGGGGCGTACAACGCGCCCTTTCCGGAGTCTCTAACTGTAACGGGTGGCATTGGCAGGACATACAAGATTTAGGTTTTCCCTTTTCATGTAGTTTCGGTATTTCGGAGTTTTCTCGGATTCCTTTAAAGTTATCGCAAAAGTGCTCCTTTTCACTTTTGTAGCCATGGCCTAGGGGCGTAAAACGCGCCCTTCTACGGAGTCTCTAGCTGTAACGGGTGGCATTTGGCAGGACATACAAGATTTAAGCCTTCCCTTTTAAGAGAGAAGGGGGACTTTTGGATTTTAAGAAAAAAGCTGGATTTCAAGTTATCGCTTCAGTGCTTCTACACTTGCAAGCCCACACCTAGGGCGTCTAAATGACGCAAACCGGAAGTCTCTAACTGTAACGTGTGGCATTTGGCAGGTATCTTAAGATTTATTTTCACCCCTTTTTCAGGCAGTTTCGGTATTTCGCAATTTTCTCGGTCTTCCTTTCAAGTTATCGGTTCAGAGCTGCTTATACACTTTCAAGTCCCAACACGCGCCCTTTCCGGAGTCTCTAACTGTAACGGGTGGCATTTGGCAGGACATACAAGATTTAGGTTTTCCCTTTTCATGTAGTTTCGGTATTTCGCAGTTTTCTCGGATTCCTTTAAAGTTATCGCAAAAGTGCTCCGTTTCACTTTTGTAGCCATGGCCTAGGGGCGTAAAACGCGCCCTTTACGGAGTCTCTAGCTGTAACGGGTGGCATTTGGCAGGACATACAAGATTTAAGCCTTCCCTTTTAAGAGAGAAGGGGGACTTTTGGATTTTAAGAAAAAAGCTGGATTTCAAGTTATCGCTTCAGTGCTTCTACACTTGCAAGCCCACACCTAGGGCGTCTAAATGACGCAAACCGGAAGTCTCTAACTGTAACGTGTGGCATTTGGCAGGTATCTTAAGATTTATTTTCACCCTTTTTCAGGCAGTTTCGTATTTCGCAATTTTCTCGGTCTTCCTTTCAGTTATCGGTTCAGAGCTGCTTATACACTTTCAAGTCCACACCGAGGGGCGTACAACGCGCCCTTTCCGGAGTCTCTAACTGTAACGGTGGCATTTGGCAGGACTAAGATTTTTTTCCCTTTTCAGAGTTTCGTATTTCGCATTTTCTCGGATTCCTTTAAAGTTATCGCAAAGAGCTGCCTTTCACTTTTAGTCACACCTAGGGGCGTAAAACGCGCCCTTTCGGAGTCTCTAGCTGTAACGGGTGGCATTTGGCAGGACATACAAGATTTAAGCCTTCCCTTTTAAGAGAGAAGGGGGGACCTTTTGGATTTTAAGA